CCCACACTTAATTTTGACAATGAACTCTTGAGCACCTCATGTAGGACTAAAAATAAGGCAATATTATTTCTTAATTCTTATTAAGAGAAGAAATTGACCATCTCCGGCGTCCCTGTGAGACACTCCACACCTGTTTGGATTTGAGATGAGTTTCATCTATAAGATTATATTACTTCTGGTAGACTTCATTCCAGGAAACAGGGTTCACTTTGTGCATCTGGTTATTGATAAAAGCACTAGTTCGACACTGCTTGCATTGAGAATCTTAGGGAAGTAGACCAATATCTCTGTTGTGAAGGCTATATATAAATAAACATGTCTGCTCTCCAATAGCTTAAGCTTTTAGAAAAAAGAGGTTTACCGTGGCATCTAAGTAGAGCACCCATCTATGAAAATTGTGCATCTAATAGGGCTTTGATAAAAAATGAATGTAGACTGCACACGAGTGGTCATGTTGAAGACTATCTTAAATAAGTAAACCTATCCTTTCTCTAGTAGCTTAAGCTTTCTGATGAGGTGGACCATACAATAAACATTATGCTTCCAGTTTCCCCATCTTCATCTCCTTACATCAAGTAAACACTCTTCCCAACTTCGAAGACTCCAATCTAGTGCCATCATGCATTGTGTCCATCTCATGCGTTCTTAAACAATAATTTTTGATTGCATCAATTTCTCTCAATTGTCAGAAATATTTCCACCTCATCCATATAGGAATATCAAAACCACAGTTTTCCATAAAAATCACAGCACCTCCAGCAACAGACCACTTGTACTCCTGATACTGCTATCATCTGAACTCAAAGTTATCGTTTCAAATTTTTTGACCCAAATTTAAACCGAGAATCTTAACGGTTCCATTTTTTCAAACACTGACCCTCTTCCTAGGTCTTGACTAAATCCTCATAATCACTGAAGTCAGTTTGCTTAAGAGTAGAGAATGCTTGACCTGTGATAGAAAAGAATAATAAAAAATTATACAAAAATGCCATCAATATTTGCTATATGTCAATATTTTGTCAACAGTACCACCAGGTGACAATTATAACCGTTAATGCATCATAACTTCTTTACATTTTCATTTCTATGATAAATCTCTCAATATATCATAACTTGAAAAATATAACCATAGGTTATAGTAGTTTAGTCTACTATGCAACCTTTGTCTCTCAACATGTGATTGTTTAGTGATCCAATCTCAAGAACTCTGGCATCATTTAGTAAATTAGAAACCCGTTTGCAATTGGAATTCTCATAAATACATTCATTGAAACGCAGGAAGAAGCTGGTGGAAGGTTTAATTATACATTACCTATAGTGATTAATTGACTCTCTGACATGGCTTGGCAATTTTATTACACGGTATTATAATGGAAAAGTTAGCCAATCATCAAGCATATCAAATAAATATAACTCTTGAAGTTACATAAAATTATTTCCCAGACATTAAAGTGTTGAAATTCTAATTAACAAAATTGCAAAAATAATAAACAACTTCATGCAAAAAGGAATCCAGTGTTCTGTACTCTAATGGATTAGGGAGAGAATCAATTTATGAAAATCATCACCAATGCGAATATAGCAATATTATATATAGAAGATTCATTCACAGCTATTTGTTATCTCAAAAAGCACCATTAATTGGTACAAAAAATCTGTCNAATGTATGATTCAAATATTTGACCTTATCGAAGCCTAGACGTACATTATAAAATGCATGTTTCCTCAAAAATTTGTAACACCATCTAAACATCCAGAAAATATATTGACTTTTGGGATATTGGACTGACATTTTAAATAGTATTGTGAAAATGTAGCAAATCATAGAAAGATACGGAAGATATATCTGAAAAGTCAACATAGTAGTTCAATGAGCAGATATGAGGTTCATTGTTCCATAATCGTTATCAGAGTCGCCAATGCCAACGATTTAATCCCAAAGGAATCAAAATTAATGATTAGATCTCTGCACAAACCTGACCACTGGGTAGATCGACAGTTATCATCATTCCAGGACCTAACCGTCCTTTCATTATGACTTTGGAATCATCCGTTGGTAGGACGCCAACCTAGAAAAGAACAAGATAATTACAATTAGGATATCATTTTATCTATGAACATAAGCATAATTAAGAAGAAAAACTAGTCATAATTTGATGAGTAGTTTTCGGACTAGGCGGTTCAAGAAAGATAACACATATTAAGTCCTGTTACGTAGAAAATGTCAAATAATATTACAGATATTTTATCGAACTATCTTGCAACGCAGGTTTCAATTCATCAGCAAATATCCATTTCCAAACACCACCAGCTTCTTATGAGAAATCAAAAATTTTTTCAAACACTGGCATAAGATTCTTAATCCAGATAAAACTGATTTCTATAAAAGGTTTTCTAACTTCATGGTTAATGCTTCATATCCAAAAGGTCTTCCTCTATCGCACCATACGCAGTGAATGAAGTAGAGCTATGGTTTGACTTCAAACTCCAATTGAGTTTGTGTTGAGCTTCAGCCAATTTGTTAATACCGAGCATGACCTTGAAGATTGGAGTCCCGGCTCAAATTGTAAGCTTATACAAGGAGGCTGTGCTCTCTCTAAATCTTTCACACCATACAAGCCCAATGTCAACATTATTCATGATAAGGACATTCAGCCTTCCACGGTATCAAAGGAGTTTACTGTGCTTTCTAGAAAAGTTAAATCCTAGAGAAGGGTCTGCAACATAGAGAAATAGACACACCTCAGATGCAACATAGACAACATTGTCTACTGTCCGCCAATATCTAGCAGGGCGAAGTCCATTACGGTCCAGACAAGCTCCAACTGTTTTCCCATCACTGTGAAAAATGACAGGAAATAAGATAAGGATGTGACTATGAGAAAAAACAAAGACAGAAAAGAGGTCACTGTGTTATATTTAAATATTTGTAGTAATGTGTGCAAATTATGCAATCAAAATCTGCTCACAAACTGATATCAGCACGCATCCAAAGTCTCTTCACGAAGTTCTATTTCTAGGGAATGGACATTAATTCATTGAACACTATTATCTTATTCTTTGGGATTTTCAATCATTTATTAAATCCTCCAAAGGGAAGTTTGGCAAAAAACAACTCATAGGAACTGAAGTAACATGTAGAAATTCAGGTGGCTTGTGATTAATAAATTTACGAAAATGATTAAGCATAAAACTAATAGATCCAAGAAAAAAATTCACCCAGAGTTTCAGAACATAAAAATT